CTGCAATCATATGAGCTAGAAAAGGTTTTTTTGGCCGTATGACGAATACTATCTTTTGTTATGACGGCTAACTCCGCTCCGCTCCGCTCCGTTCCGCGTCCGTGAATCTCTCCCTCACGGCCGGAATGACAAAAAATACTTTTCAGGCCTAGGACCGAAAATTACTATTACAGTTCGGTACAGCCCACAGCCATTTTCAGTCATCAAACTTGTCAATTAAATTGCGTGAGAAAATTTTTAAATAAATCGTGAATATTCAGCGTCATTCAAATTACATTTTGCCCAAAATTACAATTTTTTAAACATTCGTTGTTTATAAATAAATAACTGAAATTGTTTAAACTTTCAGAAGCCTTTTTTTTGGGGCATCAAATCGATTTCTGTTAAAATTCAGAATATGAATAAATTTGTTACGCTTCCCAGCAAATGATTTTTACGGTGGAAAATTGATTGTTCATAAATTATTTACAGAAAATGCTCGTAATTTTCAAATTATTTCATCAATCTTCCTCCAAAAGTAAACTTTCTAATTTTCCTTCAGATTTTTTCAATGTTTTCCAGTGGCTCAATATCGAGATTCAAATTAATGCTTGCAAATTTTAAACAATAAAATCATTGTAAAATATCCGGAAACTTGGGGTCAAATGGGGCAGAAAAATATAATTTCTGAAAAAATTGCCAAAGTACTTGGATATCCTTAAATGGAAAAAATTGAGCATTAAAACCGCAAACACACTCGGGCATTCTTGAAACCCAAAATGTCTGAAATCACTGTTAAATGGCCTACGATGAAATAGCGAGGTTACAGTTACCCCCGATACGAGGGAGAGAATACCGAGAGAGACTCCGTGGAGCAACAAACGACGCCCGATAGGAGTGAACAAGCAGTGAATCACCCAAGTGCTTGTTTACCAAGAGAATCAGGGATTCAGGGATGCCGTTTCTCCCATTCCCTCACCCCCAGAGTTTCCCTCTGAGAATCCATGAGAGATGGTGAATGCTTTTTATCCCCACCACTGTCTCTCGTCTGCACTCATCCACATGACGACGAATACTCCCATTTCTCCCTCTCCCTCGCATTTTCACTGTTGTCACTGCGAGAAATCGTACGACTAGACTCGAAAGTCGGCATCTATACGATCCCTTGAATTCTCGAATATAGCGCGAGGCACTTGTATACACAGACACAAACTGCCTTTTCTCGGGTGGAGGAAAACCCCATAGCGTTTACCAGTTGGAATCGCTAAATGTAATTCGGTTAAAAGGGTTTTAGCAATACAATGCATATAAACATGAGTGGAGGGAGGTGGGGAAAACCTGAACCACCTCGGGAGTCGTCGGCGCGGAAGAGTCGTCAAGCTATGTCGTGTAGTCACTGGGATTAGATACCACTTGGGTTTTCTCGAGACTCATGCCACCTAACTGGGGTATAACGCTTGGAAAATCGGGGAACCACTCGGCTAGACATTTGATTTCGCCAATTTCGTGTTTTGGGTTTGGATTAGTGTTGCCAGGTGGACGACTTCTTCTCGTAAATTGAGGATTTTTTAAATGCTTTTTGGAAACGAATGGAGCAATTCGGAGAGTTGAATATTGTTTAACAATTTTCGGTTACTGTGTAATTTTTAACACCTGGAATTTTTATCGAGTCACAGTTCCATTGAAATTACGGGGAATTTTGGGATTGGAAATTCATGAGTTGATGAAAAAAATTAATGGAAACTGCGAATTTTAGGTCCATTATTCCTTGAAAATGAGTAGCAATTGGGAAAATTCAGGTGAATATATAATATTGTGCGTAATTTGGTACTGAATATGCTGGTTTTTATTGACATTTAAAGGCAATTGGGGAATTTTTGTCCTCTTGTTGTTGCAAAATTTGCAGTTCCGTTCAATTTTCACTTAAAAATAAAAAATTACTAAACTGTCCATGACATTTCAATTTTTTTTTTCCAACCGTGAAGGCTCATAAGGATCATATGAGATGAGTGAAGTGATTATAATGGCCACATGTTTAATTATTGGTAAACTGAAAAACGCTCATCATCAATGATTTCTATCATTGAAATTTGATGATAAATTCATCAAAATTAGAAATGGGTTTCTGAAAATCTCTGCCATTTTCCTCATATGTCAAAAAATTGATAAAATCATTGCATTTCAAAATATTACACTCGTTGAATTTCACAATTGCAAATCCCTAAAAGCTGGGGAAACATCCTTGAAATCAGCGACATTTTCCTAATCATAAAACTAATTAAAATTAGACCTGTTTTTAATCTATGCAAAATGCCCTTTTACCCTTCCTGATCCTTATGCGGCCAGCAATTAATATGGCCCTTCTCGCCGTTCTTGTGGCACCTTCATTCATTTTTCGAAACGATCCGAAATGCAGAAAAAATGGAATGGAAAGAGCAGATTCCTGAGAAAATTTTCATGATTTGAGGATTTTCAAGAAAACTTTAATATGATAATCTGAGGATTCTGTCACGGTTTTTACTTGGCAACACTGGTTTCAATGGAGTGAATGTAAATACAAATTATTCGATTCACGAGAGACGATTGGAGGAGTGCAGGAGGTTCACTCGAGCTTTTTTTTGTATTGATTTTTTTTCCAGTTGGGAGGAACTTGACGCTCGGTGAATAGAGGGAATTGGCTAAATGCCGGGATTTTTTTCCAAGTTTTTTTTTCCACTGGCGATATATCGAGACTGCACGCCCGGCCAATTACGAAAAATGGCCGTTACATTTTCCCCGCTCGTTTCATCCCTCTTCTTTTCTGTATATATTTCACTCGGCAATTTGTCAAATTACGGTGGGTGGGATGTGGAGTATGTGGATAGGGCTTTTTTCGGGATGCGTGGGTATGCGATATACTCTGATCTAATGGCATGTGATTCGACCGGGGGAGGAGGGGGATGGACACAGGATTGGTTGCTCGTCACACGCCTCGACGACCCGGAATTATAATTCGACAAATTGGGATGATGAAATATATAACTCGATGTGATGAAAATGAAAAAGTTGTCATCTGGGGGGGGGG